GTCCGTTTTTAAGTTTCAGTTTTCAAAAGTTATCAGCATGTACAAACATCGACCAGTGGATGGAAATAGCAGAAATTGCTGCTGAAATTTTTAGATACACGGGAAACCCTGAAAACTAGCTAGCAACAAAGTAGCTCAGACAGAAAATTAAAAATCATAAAACACGTCACGTTTTCTGCCCGTTCTCATGTTTAATTTAATTCAGTCTTAGAATCACTGCCTATGTGCCAAAAACAGCGCAGGACTTTATTTCCTTTTTCAAAGCACAGAGCTGGAAGGCCTGTCCACACATCTGCTAACCCCCCAAACGTCGGCCTTTAGACCCACAGACTGAATTGGGTGTAAAATGTTAACCACAGGTTAGGTAGTGCCAGCTTCATGCGAGCTTGTCTTAAAAATATGTGGTTTCTGGCACAATATAAACTCCTTAATTACATAATAAGTTATGTATAAGTTGTATCGTGAAAGAAGGGAGATCCGTGTCCCTGTGAACGAGTTGTTTTCCTTCAGAGAGGATTGGTTTTTTTTTTCACTTATATCAGATTCAACTGTGTCCATCACAACATCAGGTAAGAGTCTGAGGTTAGCCTATAGCTTAGCATAAAGACTGGAAGCTGTCTCCAGATTTGATGACATCATCAGATCAAATAACCTGTGCTTAATTTAACGAATAATTCGAACACCTGCAGCAGCTGTTTTGGACCCCAAGCCTCATTCAACCTTCACAGAAACACAGTAAATGACTTCATCCGACTCCCCGAGGATGTAGGACACTGAATATTGTAATTATTTAGACTTTGTTTTAAACTCACTAAAATGAAGTGTAAATATTTTGTCAAAATATCAAATGTAATAAAGTTTCACCAACCTGTTTGTAACTTTATCCGTTTCTATCTTTACATGTAAAAATGTCCAGGATGTAACCTGCCGGCCCGTGTAGTCTAAATGAAGATAAAAGCAGGATTGTCATTAATGAAACCTGCGTTTCCAATCAGATCACAAAAATGTCTTAAATTATTGAACAGTTTAATAGATGGAAAATTATGGAAGAAACTCCTGAATAACTGAATTGTATAACCGTCACAGCTGGTTTACAGGTCAAAACCCCAAACGGTTGTTTTTCCTCTACTTCCAGTCTTTGTGCTGATAAGTTAATCACATCCCTCGTCTTACTTTGAGCTGCTGTTCTGCTTTAACTCTTGGCAGAAACTCTGATACGTGAAATAGCCGGAAGCATTTTCCTTTATTGTGCCGCACATCAGGTTCACCCTCACACGAAAAAACTGAATTTGCTTCATATTTTTGATGTTTTGTTGCTACTATGCCATCAAAAACTGTGGAAAGTCCTAATGATCTTATTTTATGCACAAAAATGTGTTAAAATAAGAAAGTGAAATACCAAAAAAAACAAAAATATACGAACATTATTTTACTTACATATTTTTCATGTGGAGTTTGAGCTCCGTCAGATATTTACAGCAGTGCTTCCTCTGCACTGAAAAGCAAACAGCACTGGAGTGCTGCAGAGAAGCTGCTCACAAACGGATCCCCGCTGAGATCACCTCTTTGTTTCTGGATGTTGTGTAACGATGAAAGTGATGTGCATCAGTATCATCAAGTGAAAGCTAACCGAGTGGGAGACGTTTTGTCTTACAGGGATTTTAGTGTTGTAGTAGGTTTGCAGGAGAAATAATCACTGAGTGTGTTTGTTGTGTTTCAAACTGACGACCCTGCTTCTTCTTTTTCACCGCTACATGTCTACTGTACACCGTATTCTCTCTCAGACTGGGACTGCAACTGGACAACATCTAACAACTGACATATCTCTGCTACGCTGTCTTAGAAGGAAAATTACCATAATTATCCTAAATAACTGTAGCAAAGGTGGCTGTAAATGTCTGTATATAAGATAAATAAATAAAAAACCTACCTTACTTCCTTTAGTGGATACTGTGTGACTTCTTCTAATAATTCACAGTAAGGATAGTAAAAGCTGAGTTTGCTCGATGTTGAAGATACCATTATTTTTTTAGAGACGTCTCTTTTTAATGGAGGTAATTGGGGACTTTTTCAGTGAAATACTGCAGTTGACCACTGGGACAAATGACACTGACTACAGTGGATGCAAAAGTATTCGGCTCCCTTGAACTTTCCCACATTTTGTCACAAACATGAATCAATTTTATAGCCTCTCAGGCTATGTGAAGATGGTGGCTGCAGCGTTCCCTCCCATGGCCCCGCCTCTGTGAGGCCCGGACTGGTGGGGGTTGATTATCGTGAGGTGGATGTTGAAGAAGCTTCCATCCTCTCTGGCTACCACTGGAGTGGGGCCCGGACGAGTGAACCCATGTCTGGGTCGCCTGATTGCGGGCCCCTCCCACAGCGTTCCCTCCCGTGGGCCCGCCTTCTTGAGGCCTGGGCTGGTGGAGGTTTGATTGTCAGGAGGTTGATGCTTATGATGCTTGGCTCCGGTCAG